AATCGTTGCTTTCGCGCTGTTCTGAGTTATTCACCGAATAGCAACTTTGCATATATGCGTGACGATCTGTTTATTTGTTTAAGGGCATAATTGCGAAACACTTAGACTCTTCAGACATTCATTCGCTAATACTCATTTTGTTCGAAATTGCATTATATGCTGTGCCAAATTTTATTCCAAATTGTAACTGACATTCATTAGATAAACTAGGTTAACTGAATGTACAGCTCACACCCTCTCTGGCGGACTTTTCTTCACTATTACGCAGGCAGCCATAAAATATTATACCGAGGTTGCGTACATGCCTAGACTATGAAGCATCTTGACGTTAAATTAGTTTACTGTAGTCACAGAATGAATGATAACGTAGGTGAGGAGTGCGAAATTTTTCAAGTTAGTCTCACGAATCATTTGGTTTCCATTCTTCGAAGGTAACAAATCAGTATCACTATGAAAAATCGTTTTATTTATGTTTAAAAATAAGCGATGTTCTTGAATTCGTAGCAGAATTTTTCTTATTCAGTTTTCATAAGATTGTCGTGCGAAAAGCCGTATCGTCAAAATTGGAACAATTAAAGAGGAATTGTATTGTGCTGTCTTTAATTTAATATCATAGTGTACTTGATTTTTAAACAGATATTTCACTGTTCTTGTATTAAGTGACATTCCAGACAATTTACTGATTAACCGTGGTGTCTTAAGCGATTATAGTTTTGGGCTCTGTATCCAAGTTTTACAAAACCAGGAGAAGGTGAACTCATTTAGAATGAGGTAGTTTCTTGATAGGTCGAAGGGCAGCGAGTTTTATTCGTCTGTCAGGCGGATTAAGTTTGATCTGTTGTGTAATTGGTTGTTATTTAGAGGTTGTAGATTTGACTGACCTAAATTCACGATGTCTGTTCATGAAGGACCGTAATTCAGTTTTCGTATTATCCCGTTTATTCTTTCTTTTGCATGCACCGTTACGTATTATCAGTTATTTCTACCTTATTCATTAGCTTCAGTCCAGTAGTTAACTATGTAGTACTGTTCAACTTGTACTGCACTTCCGCGGGCTCAGTTTGTCACTATGTCACACTGGATTGAACGCTTCTTAAGATGGGTTGCAAGCAACTCTGCTTTGCAGTGTATGATGCAACGTAATTTTGTTGCCTGTCTATTTGTTTTATACTTTTCCTGTTTTCTGTAAGCTTTGTTTATTTTCGCTCGCAGTAAATGCAACTTTGAACTTGACCTTCTGTACTATGTATACTTACTTATCCTTACTTATTTTACCCTTCTGTATGTGTGGACTGTACTTTTGTCATCATATATCCACTGTTCGGATTTATATTTTAAAAGCTACTTTTTATGTTGAAAACTGCTTTCTGTAGCGATTTTTGTTCAAGAGTCAGATTTTGCCAAAATCTCAAGGATCCGACCTTGTACTTACTGTTCTGCTGCCGTTATAACGACACCAATTGTTATAATTTTGTTACTGAAATAATTAAGTTCTTTTTGTTAAATCTTAATGACTCAGTTTGAACTGGAGTCTCTGTTTCTTGAATAGGATCATAGGGATACTTATTTTTAACCTGAATATCATAGGTGTGTCACAATGAAGGCCATAGCTAACGATTTGAAATGACAAAGCGAATGAATAAGCTGAAATCAGTAACACCTATTAGACATCGAAAAAGATTAAGGTATTCACCCTGACGCCCCCGGGTCTTTTACCATCTCGGCTAAAGCTGAAACTAGAAGTCACTGGCGCAGTAGGGGGTGAATGCTGTTTTTCTGTCGAGATCTGATTGAAGGAGCGCGTAACACGCCTTCTGAGACAAGCAGTGACATATGAATAGAGATCGAAAGTATTCCGTCCTTTATACACACCATCTTCTGCAAAGATATGCCCGTCGATCTCTCTGATATACTTATTTTCTGTTACTGTTGGTTTCTTACTGTAATTACGTCTTCATCGTCTCTTTCTTTTCTGAAGTTGAAGCAGCTCTGTATGGATTACGAAATGTTTTTATCCTCCGTTTACGATATAGCGTCTGTTGGCGTTCAACTGAAAGAAAGGGCCATTAGCCGATGGATAACTGCTAGAGAAAGCAGTTAGAATTGATGATCATGTCCTTTAGCTTTTATGTTTCGCCGTTCATTCTGTCCTCATCACTCATTCTCAGTTATCTCCACTGCGTTCAGCAATTCCACTTGGCTGTATTAGATATACCATTGACGTTTTGTTTCATTGCTTTGTATTGTGAGAGATTCATCATATTCTTCTGTTAGTTCCTTCTTATATTATTGCCCTGTGATTTCACATCATGCCGCATAATTCTTTCTTTTTTCTGATATATTCCGTCATTTTTTATATGATGTATGATGTGTTCTTTCTACTTTTCCTTATGCAGAAAAATAGCTGATGACATTCAAAAGTAAAATCTTAATCTTGGGTCATTCTAAAAGGAGGCCAGAAATAGTGCCAGATTGTCAGCTTTCCAAATTGATGACGCAGTTCGTTGTTATTAATTTTGTAATGTATTGTTCTACGCATTGCAGGCTCTTAAATACCATTGAGCCGTGACTTGCTTAAATGGTCTCCGTACGTTTCTAGAGGCAAGGGGACGGTGCAACCGATCTGTTGGTGTAAAGTGAGAAATTGATTTTTCTTCCTTTACACTTTCAATCCGGTATCGCTATTTTATTGTTTGTAATGCACTGTTAAGTTTTTTTCTCCATTTAGGTAGCAGATCGTTTTTCCTTTCCGTTAGTTTGTTTTGGCTTTTTGTCGATAAAATTTTTTCATATTCAAATTTTCTGAACACCCGTTTGTTGATTGATATGTTTGTTGTTCGTTGTTGCTTTAGGATTGATGGGTTTCTGTTTGAACAGGATTTTTGAATGAGATAAGTTATTGGCAAGCAATAAGCACGACCGTTCGTTCGTTCATTCATTCGTTCATGTTTTCAGTGCCTAGGAGGGATTTCGGTTCTTGAGGGCAGCTTCTTCAAGAAACCCCGTTTACATATCGGTCCTCTGCCAGTGGAGAATAGAGTGAATAGCAGGAACTCTTGACAGTATTAGGTCTTGTATATTATAATTGAACCAAGCAACTCTGGCCTTGGCTAGTTTCCATGTGGCTTTGCAACGTAAGTTCCGGTTGCGAGTTGCTCCTGTGGCATATTACACAGTAAAATAAAATGTAACATGATGTTTACTGTGCATTTCGAAGATTCGTTCCTTTGTACAACATGAAACAGCGTTAACCAAATTGAGTTCTTCACTGTATACTACTGTGGTCCTATGTATTGTGATATGAGCAGTGATTGTCACTGCTCTCTTAAAGTGAAGAGTAGAGGAAGAAGAAAGAAGTGGTTGATGAAGAAAAATATGAAAAATTGATTAAGTTGAAGAAGGCAGAACGAGGTCAAAGGGGGAAGATGAAGGAAAGGAGGTAAAAGAAGAGAAAACGCATGAGTAGTACTAACATGAAAATATGCATTTGCTTATGCAACTTGCTGTTTCTTATTGTTTGCTTTATGCATGGTTGTTAAACCCAAGCGTTAATGTGTTGTTTACGGTCGACCAATTAATTCAGCACTGATTTAGCTTACAGATGTTAGTACCGAAACTCATGACTGTTAGGTAAAGCATTTCGATTATTGTTTTACGTTTGGCTTTTAGTTCATTGGTGAATTATGTATGAGCTGAGAATTAAAATACCTTTCGAGAAAATTCTTGTTGCTTTTTTTGCACTGGTCATATTCTATTCTTTCCTTCGTTTCCATCCTGAAAGTTAAACTTTCTCTGACTAGCATCTTCAGCAAGAGCAAATCAGTTTTGACTACGCTCAGAGGAAGGAGTCAGCTAAATTTAACACTTAACTGTAGAAAGCATGTTTTTCTACAGAGGTCGAGATAGCAAAGTTGTGTCCGAAATTCACCATCGTGTCAGGGCGATATACCTGGATGCTGTTGCTGTCTCCTGCGGATGATGGTAAGGAACCATTAGATCACGCGGGACTGGATTGAATTATTTATTCCTTTGATATCTCATATGTATTGTTCAGCTGATACACCATAATCCAGTTAGAAGTCACTGAGGACATCGCATGCAATTGTTATAATTTCTCTTTGAATGTAGCTTCGAGCTATGAGTGGCTTTTATCTTTGATCTGTTTTAGATTCAAAAGATAAACTTGAAACTTTCTGTTATACAGACTTCAAGCTAAAACCAGAACTTGCTCTCGTTGATGTGGAATCGGGGAATTCATGTTGCTGTATGACGACGAACAATATGCCGAATAGTGAACTCTTTCGAAAGGCTATCATGTTTCCTCACAGGGGTGTCATTCATCAACCTTGGTTATATCTGCATTTAGTCGATTGGGGGGGGGCATGAAAGCATAATGAGAAACAGGTTTTATCACCAAACCTAGAATATTGTAGGTATTTCTTTTTAAAGTTGAGTTAAAGATAATTTGTTTTTTTTTGAAACTCTTCATGATTGGGCAGACGCTTAGTCACACATTTCCTTCTCCAGGACAAATTTGTCTCCGACCGTATTTCATGAAAAACGAAATGTAAACCTCTTTGACAGTAGCTTGTTCGACTGATGCAAATACCGTGTCGTGGATGACTGGAAGCGCATATGTATTCTGATTCGATGGTTGATATTGCGAAAGACTGTTTAGTGCTGTCAACCATGAAATCAAAAGATATTTGATTGCCTCAGTGTAACTGATTATCTGCGTTTCTTTTGTCTGAATATTTTTTGTAGTGAGAAACCATCTTCCGGTGACACGGTACAAAAGATCGAGTGCTTGGTGAGTGAATTGCAGCAGTTGCGGCAGCAGATTGAGAAGAAGTTCGCCTGTTTGCGCTGCAGTCCTGAGGAGCAGTATATTTATATCCAGAACTTGTACAAGGAATCACAGCTGAAGGACGAGCTGATCCTCCGCTACAAGACATTGGGCGTGTCCATATTCGACCCGGTGGCCAGCGAACCATCGACTGATGAGCAGTGTAGCGGAACCGGCGGAAGCGATGGTCGAGACGCCTGTGCCAGACTCGCATCGTGAGCTGGTCGTCCCTCGTGACGAGAAGAACACATCGATTCTACGTTGTGCATTCTGCAACTGCACGATCCTCAAGGAAGGTCAGGGCACGTTTGTGCGGATCGAAAAACAGCTGCCTCAAATGAGCGTGAAAGCCGGTGAGGAGTTTGGCGATGAGACGTTGGACGAATTCTTCCTTGTCGAGAACATATACCACTTCGAGAACATCGGCTTTT